TCAGCATAGTAACAATACCCCAACATCTCCTTAACTCTGGTGCCCTTAGAAGTAAAAAAAAAAATGCGTTCGAACTTGTTTTTTTTTCGGGGGGGAGGGGGGGTGGGAGTATTTCTCAAGAAATGTAACGAAATACATTTTATCCTGATTGTATGGCGATACAAAGAAAACTTCTAAATGTATTTCGATACAGGAATACAGATACTGGTGAAAAAAATGTATCGCGATACAGAAATACAGATACGAAATGTATTCCTGAAATACTATCGGGATACATTTGTATCGCGATACTGCCCAACCCTGCGATTTACATATCTTATAGGGGAAATCCTTCGCATAGATCGTCTGAAACCTATTCAAAAAAGCGTTGTATGCTATATTGGGATCAGTCTCTGTTAGAACATCATTCCAACTCGCGCTTACAATATCGTTGCGAAACATATCAAGATTGTCAGGCGTTATGTTTTGAAATTTTCTTAATGACCGAATGTCTCGTTTTGGGTCAAGGGCTTTGTTAATGCAAATAAATATCGGGAGATGATCGCTGATCTGGGTGCTAAATATTCCTCCTTTTAGACGTGTATTATCAATATTTGTAATGAAAAGGTCTATTAAGGTTTCTGTGTGAACAGTGATTCGTGTTGGTCTGGTTATCGTATTAAGATATCCGTATGTGGCAAGCAATACTTCATACTCATTTTTAGGCGTGCTATTAACTAGCATATTGATATTGATATCCCCCCCAATTATCACACTAAAATTATTGTCACTACCGAATCCCAAGAGCCTCTCGAAAAACGTAAAAAAATTCACCATATTGCCATCCGGTGGGCGATAAACAACAGAAATAAGCATATTATCTGCTATAAGAGATAGCACTTCATAGTCTCCAGTGGTAACGCAAAAATTTGATAATAATTGAGAGTTAATGTTTTCTTGGACCAATGCGCAAACACCATCCCCGCGACCTGTAGTCCGGTTTAAACAGTAGCTTTTATAGGACGGCATATGAAATGCATCAGTTTCGTCGGAATACCATGTTTCGGTGAACATAATCACGTTCAACCTAACTGAAAGTTGGCTAAAAAGACAGTCGAGTTCCATAGATTTATTTTTAGCCGACCGTACATTTAAGTGAAAAAGTTTGAGTGAAGCCTCAAAACCACCCTCAAGAATTTTTGCAAAGTCAGTCGGAAGCAAGTATGAAGAATCCATCGTACATTTATTGAAAACCCAATGTGTAAATAAAGATCCATGCCAAAAAATACAAACCAGTCACTTCCAGGTCGTCTTCACTCCTTATCACAACCGCATCGTCACCATCCTTGCACCTAGCAAAGATTTTTCAGTTTCTGTGCCAAGTGTATTGGAAACCGTTCGCTTTCGCCCATTCTTTTGTTTTCGCTAGGAGTTCCCTGTTTTGTTTAGTCATGTTCTCGTAGATGTACACCCTCATTCCGGTTGCCCTTAGCTTATTCTTCCGGTAGAGCCATGCATCCCTAGTTGTTTGGGATGCAAACCTGACAATGACGCCTGGAATTTTGTCTGGTTTCGATGGCAGTCGGTGAATCGCGGTGATATCGCATCCAGCTAGCTCGGGCACTTCTCGAGTTCGCGCCACTTCATTTACCTTGCTTATAAGGTCTTCGTCATTACTTTTTGCGATGCTATGGAACTCCAAATTAAGCTTACGGCTTCGCCATTCCATGTCGTGAAGTTCTGCCTTGAGCTTTTTCACTTCCTCCTCCTGATCCTTTTTCTCGATTTCTGCAAGTCTACTTTTCACCTCTTTCATCTCTTTCTTTTGTTCATTCACAGATTTCAGAATTTCATCATACTGAGCAGACATCATGCTGATAGATGCCTCAATGCTCCCAACAGTTTCTTTAAGGTTCAACAGCTCATCTAGCTTTTCGTTCATGCCAGCCAACAGAATTGAAATTAAAATGTCGTCATCCGGTTTTTGTTTACTGACAGCCCCGCCTTTCAACCTTGAGACTCGACAAGTGGGGCATTTCCATGTCTTACGATATGCCTCGCCTTTTGTTTTTAACGTGACTTCGGACACCCCCGCGCAAACACCACAGTGGTAGGAATACTCGCATCCACTACACGAAATAGATTGTTCGGCATTCAGAATTTTCTCTTGGCATTTCAAACACAATGCGTCAGCCATTACCAGATAAAAACATTCACCAAACAGTAAACACCGCAGGCAGCAGCAGCGACAGAGCTAGAAATGTTTAACGCGAAATAAGTAACGTAAACCAACCTGCAATGATGTAACAGGACGGATTAGCTTGTGCACAGTCGTGCCGCTGCTGCCAGAATGCCGAGGTCCGGCGCCTGTGATGATTCTTATGGCACGATGTACCGCTGGCGTCGCCCGTGTCTGGTGTCGTGGGCGTGGCCACACGCTTCAGCTCGTTGCAATCTGGCCACGATAGTCGCTTTTGTTGTGGAGCAAGGCGTCCGACACAGCAGGCAGCACGCTGCAGTTTCACTTGCTTCTAGGATCGGGCACACCGTTGATAAACTGCAATGATGTAACAGGACGGATTAGCTTGTGCACTGTCGTCTGTCGCCGCTGCTGCCAGAATTAGGTAAGTGTTATTCACGATTAAATTTGAAGAAATGTTCAAACATGGTAAATGTTTTCCGTCTAGATTTTTTTAGGTCTCACATTTAAATTAACACCACAGACAGTACATATCATTTCCGTCCACAAAATACAAAATAATGTATTTATTGTTTTTTTTCACGTTGAGAAAGAAATTATCTTAGGGCGGAAGATTTTAAATATTTTTAAATTGAACACGTCATGAAATTTTTTTTTTTTCGTTTTGCGTTTTTGGGAGGCCTCTTTTACTCTGTACACATTCTGGTAGGACTAAAACCTGTGTCAAAGTTCTGAGCCTCTGAATATGCGAGAACACAACACTTCCAGCGGGTTCTTGATATTTTTTTTCTCTTTCCAGCTTTTCATCCCCGCATTTATTATGATTTATATTTTTTACCAATGACACAGTTATTTAGATCGAAAAGACATGGCCATGAACTTCAGAACCACTAGGCATGTGACGAGTAGTGCCTTCTGACAACGAGTTTCCGACAATGACTATTTACGATCTTTTATGCAGTGAAGAGCGAGAGTAGCTATACGTACGCACAAATAACTTCAAATTAAAAGAAGCTCGACTACGCCCTCTTCCCCCCCATATTGTTTTCTTCAACACTCCAAAATATCTGAGGGGGGGGGGGGGGGCCTGCCCCTCCTCTTCTGACGCTACTGGTATGGTAGAACGCTCCTCGACCTCGAGGCGTGTCGGCTTCTGTGCTTTTTGTTCGGCGTGTCCGAAAATAAACCTTCAGAGCAATTACAAACTAAACTTACTATATGCCGGCGTCACTCGGGCGACGTTCGATCGGATTACTACGAACGTGCAAGGGGGTTGGGGGGGGGGGGGGGGGGGGCAGTTTTGCCAGATCGCTTCAAGGTTTTTCTGAAACTCAACCACTTGCCCGCCCCTGGCCGTTTCGAACTGGATGAGTGTCGTAAAAGAGTGCGTTCGTGTGATCAATATTGCATAAATCTATGGTCTCATGTCACACTGCACTGGCAAATATTCAAGCACATCCGGGACACAGGTCGTCTCATTTAATTGCCTGACCAACTTCGCGCAGTCTAAATATCACACCCGAACTTTTCTAAACCTGATTTCGTGAAACCAGTGAGACGCGAAAACGTTATTTGAAACTGGAGAGGAACATGAAACCGGACTTCGAACTTTGCGAACTTGGACTTGAAAAAAAATTCGAAATCTTCGAAGTTCTTTTTTTTTTTTAATTTAACCCTAAAATAGAATTGAAACCTTCGAACTTTTCTAACTTTATGTAAAAAGATATTCAAAATCTTCCTTCATGTCCATAAAATTTCAAACCTTTCAAATTTTCCGTATTTCAGATTTAAAGAAATTCGAAATCTTCAAATTTTGCGACCTTCAGATTCAAGTAAATTCGAAATCCTCGAATTTTTCAAACTTCAGACCCCAAGAAATTCATAATTTTCGAATTTCTCAATCTTCAAGCTAGGAAAGTTCGAAATCTTCGATTTCTTGAGCCTCAAGAAAAAAAATATTCGGACCCGAACTTTTAGAAATCGTGAAAGCTTCAAACTTTTCGATTTCGAAACTTAACGGTGTTCGAAAATGGCAATCTTTTCGAATTAAAACCTTGGCACGTTTCGAAAATATCGAAATCTTTTGAATTCGAACCTGTGTTTGGTTCAAAAATATCGAAACCCTTCGAATTCCAACCTAGGGTGGTTCGCTACATCCCTAATTACGAGGGGGTGATGAGGAGGGCAAGAAGGGAGGTCTTTTTTTTGTTAGGGGAACGCCAAACAGGCGTCAAGTAAGCCGCATTTTTTTGTTTTGCTTAAACAATTCGTTTTTCTGTCTTTTTCTGTCTTCAATACTCTCACTGTCTTCGTTCCCTTCAACTTCGACATTCGAGACACGAAGCAGTAAGGTGGGACCTCGCATGCTAATACTGTTCCAGCAATATCGCAAACAAATCGAAAGTAATTGCTAGTAGTGCTAGGGCGGAGTAATATGCATAAAGCAATGTTTGCGATCAAAACTAACAAGATGACAAAGCTAAATTAAGCATATTAGTATGAGTATGCTTAATTTAGCTTTGTCACCTTGTTAGTTTTCAGCTGGTTGTGTTTCTAGAGCTTGATTCTCGTTGTCAGTTTGCACTGCAAAATGATCTATTTCGAATAATCATTCGCTAGACGACATTGCATTTTTAACTTGGCAATGCGCCCTTCCGGGGTGTGTTGGGAAGGGGGGGGGGGGGGGCTTCGTTGCTTTCCCCCGGGAAGTTGAAAACTCTCCGCCTATGAAGTATCCCACCGACAAATTTATCACCGCGCGCCGTCGTTGCCATGACGGCAACGACGGCAACCGTCATCGCACTGCCCTTGCTGCCCTCTCTCGTCGTGGGCGAGATGGTTCGACGGAAACGCTCGCCACCACCTCGCCCTATCAACCATCACGTGCGCCGCTGACTCAATCCCTCCAAAGCATTTTCGCGCCGTCGCGACACCGCCACTGGAAGCCTATAGCTTTAGGAATGCGTTCGCGATGTTAGGCGGAACTACGTACTGCGTTTCTGGATTTGGAAAGGGCCTCGACATGAGGCCCATGAATTTCAAGGACACGATTCAGAAGATCCGAGTGTGCAGCCTGTGCAGCGTTATTCCCAGCACCGTGGTTCTGCTTCCGTGCTCGCACTCGGTCTGTGAGCTGTGCTTCGACAAGTGTCTCGAAGACGGGGAACGCTGTCTGCTCGACCAAGAACGGCTGGGACAGGAATGCTTAGAGAAGCTGACGCTTTCGGAAGAAAAACTTGCGACATGGCAGGTAAGTGAACTCTTCTAAAACCAGAGAGTAAAGTTCTCACGATACCCTACTAATCATGACCGGTGACCCTCCACTCTTTTATATTTTTTTCTTGTTTCCGGTACGTGCCCATAAAACTATTTTATAAAAATTAACCTCGAGTTCGCATGAAATTTATGAGGCCCGCTTCAGACGGGGCAACTTTTACAGCAATTTCGAGGTTGCTGGCGGGTTGTTCCCTAGCTTTCCCTAGGTTGACGCGAATCGCTGAGATCGCGTCCGACTCGAACGAGCGAGCAACTCGGAGCAATTCGAAGTTGGTTGAAGCGGCTGCAGCCAATCAGAGACGCGATATTTTCACGTGACACCCCTGTGGTGGTGATGATGATAGCTAAATACTTTGTTCTGGTTCGGAATCGATTGTTTTTGGAAATAAACAGTTTCAGAAAAATGAGTTAGTATTCTCAACGCCGTTCAAAGATATAAGAACGCGTCTTTAGCGCGTAGCTGGGCGTCTAAATAGTGAAAGAAGAATCAAATTTAATGATGATGATGGCAAGTCGGAGCACTTCGGTTGCTGCGTGTGAACGCAGGTGGCCTGTGTTGCTGGTGTTGCGACGTCAAGTTGCTGGGTGAAATTGCTCCGTCTGAAGCGGGCCTTATAAATGCGTCAAAACATCGCCGTTTTTCCCTAGTCGGATTTCCCTACGCCACGTCATTCGGCCGTCGCGGTGCATATCCTTCTGATTCCAGTTAGAGAAAGCGCAGTTTTATCTGCAGCCCGCAACAAGTGATGGAACACATTACTCAACACAGGTGTAATCAAATTAGTTTACATCGAAAAAGAAACAAACATTGTTTTAACCTGTGTATGCAAACATGTCTGGAACGCTTAAAAATAGTATCATATATACGGTGTGACAAGTTATAGACCAGTTCCTCTGGCAAGTGTTCCTAGCAAGCTGATCGAGCATGTAATTTCCTCAAATATTATGGATCACTTGTCGGTCAAAAACTCGCTTTTTGTAAATCAGCACGGTTTCCGGCGGTATCGTTCCCGTGAAACTGAACTCTTTAAATTTGTCACAGACCTACATCAAATCCTTCTCTCAAACCTAAACCCATGCAATTTTCAACGACTTTCAAAAAGCTTTTGACAAGGTAAGTCAAACACGACTTCTTAAATACGCGCTTCACAAGCATAATCATCTGCCAGGGTGAATATCGAACCTCCTCGTTGACCGCTTGCAAAGTGTCTGCTATGAACGTGACTCCTTATCTTATCAGAAAATAAAATCAAGAGCACCACAAGGCACCGTGCCAAGTCCACTGCTCTTATTTTCGCACGTGAACTATTTGCTTGCTACTATTTAGTACACCATCAGTTTGTATGCCGAGGATTGTGTGGTGTACCAAAAAATATCTAGCATTCGTTATGGTATTGTTTATGTTTATTCTTATTTTCAGTGACCCACCAACAGCTTGACGCCTCCTTAGTGGTGCACTTATTCCTTCAGAAATGCAACGCTAAACAGGATAAAAGCGAAATGTTAGGAAAAAACAATAGCCTCAACACACTGTCGAAATTTACGCTTTTCATCAAATATATCAAGGCTAGCATTCGCACAAATCTGTTCTAAATGGTTATAAGTCAGTTGTAGGCGTGTCATTGGTGCAGCATGGTAAAAGTCGATAGGATAAAACAAAGTATAAAGTCTACAAGACTGACGAGGAACGTGCAAATAGATGTGACTGAGTAGCTCTGGGGAATCAATTATACCATTTACAATCTTATACAAATATGTCAGTTCACGAATTGTTCTCCTGTTGTGCGACGAGTCTAACTTCACGAGTTCACAAATCCTCTCATAACTATAAAAATAATTGGGTTGAAAATAACGATCAAACAAAATACGAACAAACCTACGTTGAACACTCTCAATTAAACCTGAATTTGTCACTCCAATACAGTTCCAGACAACTGAGGCATATTCAGCACGACTACGCACCAGTGAAGAAAACAAACGTAAAATACAAAGTGGTTTAGAAAAATCGCGTGTTATTCGTGTAATGGAAGCATTCGTAATTGTGGTCACGTGATGGTTGAAATTAATTGCAGGATCCATAAAAACGCCTAGATCACGGATGACCTCAACGCGAGTAACATTGGTGGAATCTAATACATAGGGAAAACTCAGAATTTCACGCTTCCTAGAAAAGAACATAACTTTCGTCTTTGACTCATTTAAGAGTAGGTCATTTGAGAAAACCCGCCGAAATAGAATCTATATCGCGCTGAAGACATTCGCAATCGTAAACCGTTTTAACCGCTGTAAACAACTTCATATCATCAGCAAATAACAAAAACCGCGTGTGTTTAATACAGGAAGTTAGATCATTTAGGAAAACTAAAAGCAGCAAAGGACCGAGGTTACTGCCTTGAGGAACCCCTGAAGTAGATAAAAAAGGAGCAGATAATCGGCCGGATACTCGCACAAAGTTCAGCCCATGAGATAAGTATAACTATCGAGGAGACGACAGTACTTAAGGGACAGACCGTAACTACAGAGTTTACTCAACAGTAATCGGTGATTAACTTTGTCAAAAGCTTTGCTCATATCAAAGTAGACTACATCCGCTTGTCCTCCGCTATGGACAGATGGTACAATCTGATGTAGGAAGAAACACAGGTTTGTTTCTGTGGAGCGGTCTTTCATGAAACCATGTTGCTCAGGAATAATCTTCCGACAAAAATATGCATAAAGGCGGGTGTGCAAAACAATTTCATAAACTTTAGAAAAACTACAAAGGAGGGAGACTGGCCTATAGTTGTTAACTATGGATCGATCACCCGATTTATGTAATGGAACAACAACAGAGCGCTTCCAAGCGGTAGGAAATGTTTCAGATGCAAGCGATAAGTTAAAGATATGAACCAAAACTGGACAGAGGAGTGGAGCACAACCTTTTACTATGAAGCTGGGAATTCCATCTATTCCCGTAGATAACTTTGGTTTCAATTTTTTAATTGCCTCCAAGACTTCAGATTCATTAATTGGAGCAGCAGTAAAAAACTCCGGGCAGTTTATATTCGAGCTAGGCATTAGGCATAACTCGATTGCTTGCTCAATCACAATTGAAACATGATGTCTAAATTGGCAAGTAAAAATAAATATTTCAAAAGCAAAATTGAAAAACTTTTGTACTAAGCGAAGTTCGACAGATTTTAGCTACACTTCCTTCTATAGGGCTCTTGAACATGTGCATACATTTAAATATAATGGGGTTCATCTAACATCAAACATATCTTGGAAAGCCCACATTAATCCGAAAATTGTAAAGGCAAACCAAAGCCTCGGTTTTCTAAGACAAAACCTTCACATGGCCAACTGTGAAACAAAACTTGTAGCAGATACCAGCCTTATTCGATTTCACCTCGAATACGTTTCTTTAATATAGAATCCACATCAGTCTTATTGGATACAGAAACTAGAATCGGTGCCAAACAGAGCCACACGCTTCATTCTCAAAAACTACACGCGCACAAGCATCACCTCACTAGAGAAATACCTTGGAGTACCACGTCTCGCAGACAGAAGATTTCAAGACTTACATCATTACACACTTTGTATTACCATTGTCCATCGAAGAGATAACTACTGCGGGGCTGCAGCACAGATTTCCGCACGTATTGACAATTTGCAAACTCTTTATTTGGTCAACCCACGGACAAACCTATCCAAATTTTCACCACTACAGCTAGTAACATATGTATGGAACTTCCTTCCCGATAATATTGTAATCATATTCATCAAAGAATCATCTAGTTTTAGACCTTCTCTTACCACATTCTTAAACGCACAGCAACCGTAACACCTTTCTATTTTATTTTTTGTATTTGTGTTTTAAACTGAAAATGTTGTACTTAATTTGCCCCCGCCCCTTTTTGCTCCCATAGTTAGATATCGCATAGCGAATTCAATTGGTCGCTTTGGAGCGTGCAAGAATAGACTTTTCCGGAGCGCGCCTCTTTTACCGGCGATCGGGATCGAGGCGCACGTGTTCCACAAGTCGTTTTGGATTAGCTCCCACTCCAGATCTGGATCCGGGTTCGAGAAAAGTCACTCCTCGGTTTTGGCTGTGACTTCTTTTCTCGCCGGGCATCTCGCCTCGAGATCCGGGACCGTGGGTGGGAGATTTCCGAGAAGGTGAATGGCGGGAAGGCACCTACACCCACCGATCCCGGAGGAGTCGGCATGTTCCACGGAGGATCCGTAGGCGGAGCGACTCCGTTCGGATCGCGTGCTCAATCTCGGATCAGCTCTACTGACCCCGGCGCGTTTCAAAACAACCAGTGGAATATTCGCCAACGAACGTAAAAATTTAACACAAATATATACCACGCCCGCCAAAAAAAAAAAAAAAAGTATACATGTTAGCACAATTAAGTGGTTGATATTAACTACCAACTTTGGCAATCACATTTGTTCAGGAAATGATGAACGGGTACATCAATAACATTTAAAAATTTCGTGTATAACATCAGTGCGCGCGCTCTAATTAGGGGTCTCACTGCTAATAAGTACAAAAGACAGTCTGCAAACAGACTCCAACGCGTCACCACGGGATTCGTGCTCCGAATGCCGCTTAGCAACGAGTTCAAGGAGAAACTTGGCACCCGGCATTCGAACTACGGATATTGCGGTGACTTGTGTTTGCAGACTGGTTTTTGCGTGATGTATAAGCAGTGCGGCTCCTCCTTAATAGCCAAGGTTCATCAAATGGTCGTATAACGGTCACTTAAGCAACAAATTAGAATACAAAAAGCAGCCCAACCAAGAGTAAATAATTCTAGTCCACGCGTACATTTCTTGTCCTTATCTTCATTTTTTTTTGCGTTTGCATGTTTATTGTGCTCAAACCGTGTCTACAGATTCGTACCCTTGATATGACTGTCTTCACAAAGACAAGTGACCAAAATTATATTTGTTAAAATAGTATCTCTCAACCATTCTCAGTGTTTAAATACAAGCGAAAAACACATTTCCTAATATCTAAATAAACAAAAAACAAAATAGTAGCAATACTTAATAGGCTCATTTTAATTACCCTGTGTGAAAAGAGTTTCGTTGTATCTTTCTGTGGTTGTACACTCCTGCTTAAACTCAAATTAGTCTGCAGTCTTGATAAATACAGTAAATGATATGTCCTTCCTTGCAGAAGGTAGTTCAAAGCTTTGTTGAAAGATTACGGCAATGAGATTATTTTGTTAGTCTCATTTCAGGCACGAAGATATGCATGTCCGCCATTACAAAAGAAAAAAAAAATGAAAACAATTTTGTTAAACTGCGCAACAGTCCGCGCAGATGAGCTAGTGTTTGGATTTGCACTTAAAATATTTAGTCCAAAAGCTCAAGATACAATCAAGCACCGAAGTTGCGCCTTCAAAAAATATCTAACCATGAGAATGCATTTATTACTCTAATTTATTGTTGTTGTTGTTTTTGTTTTTTTAAAAAGGTGGCTTGCTGGAATACGCCATACGGTTGCACATTCTCGGGTTCGAGCATCGCTCTCCTGGATCACTTTGAGAAGCACTGCAAATTCCACGCGGTCTGCTGCTCTCGCTGCGACCACTACGTGCTTCGCAGCGACGTGGTGGGACACCTCAAGTCGGGATGCAGTGCACTCCTGACCGAAGACGGACCAGGGTCATCCTCTAACAGGCGCGGCGGTACATCCGTCGGTGACGGGGGAAAGGCGATGGGTGAAATGAAAAACGCCGTTGAGAAAATGGCAGACGAGCAGCTTCACCTCCAGAGTAGCTTGAACGGCCTCCTGGAGAGTGCTAAATACCAAACAGCTGAGATCACCAAAGTCCTTGAACTCGTCGATGAAGTTCGGTGTTCGGTTCTTATCGGTCTCGAAATGACCAAAGCTAATTGTAAAGAGCAAATACTCCGACTGGGGGATAACCTGTCATCGCAGACGATGGACATTGCGCGTAGTGTGCGTCAGCTGAGACCCAGAATTATTCACTGGTACCTCGAAGGGTGGGAAAAAATAAAAGAAGCAGTGCTGGGGAAGCCAGTCGTCTACACGGAGAGTGGAGTGCAAACGTTGTACGGATACGCAGTCTCTCAAAACATTGAGATAAGGAAGCAGAACGAGGAACTGAGATTAGATTGCCACCTGAGAATTCACGCGAGTCAGAACGACGATGACCTTGAGTGGCCCTTTAAGTACGACTGTCACGTGGGTATCATTCACCCGAGACGTCACTCTAAAATGTTCTGCACAGTTAACGCTGGCACACCGGAACACCGAGAGGTCTTCAAAAGACCCGTGGGAGTGCGAAACACGGGCTTGGGGTCCTTCCTGGCAACCGTGAATTCGATCGAAAGTCAAGGATTTATTCAAAACGATACACTCCACTTGTTTGTGGAAATTGTACCGTGAATTTCTGCTAAACAGTGACGCTTTCTTGGAAAGCAATAGCTGACTTATAGCCAACCAACTTCTGTCTTGAACATGTATTTATCAGGATCGGCGGACATAACATGGGGGAATACTCGTAACGGCAAGTTGTTTGAATAACTCAAGTATGTTAATTAACAATTTCATTATTAATTTTAGGGGTCATGTGGGAATTGCAGTATTGACGGCAATTACTATTTGAGACCAGACCAAATAAAAAATAGCTTGCGAAAAGTTAATTTTTTTTTTTCAAAATATTTTCGCGTTTTTTTAAACAAAATTCAAAAATTGAGAGATTAAAATTAGCGTGACGATCATCCCCTCATCTGATGTCCACCAAGCCTGATAAATATATGGTGAAGGCAACTCGTACGACTATCGCCACTTACTTCGAAAAGACATGTGCGAATTAACATTAAACACCCTGTAGTTCAAGAAGACAAAGAGGCAAATAAAATGTATACGTACGGTGCTTTCAATCAATTTATTGGGATGTTAATTTGTTGAGGCGAAGAGTTTGTGGGGATTCCTGTGGTCTCCCTTCCCCGATGGCTGCGATAGCGGCCGCGGGTTGGACAACTCGGCCTCCTTCGCCGTAAGCTCCGACCTGTTCGTGAAACGGAGGGTCCCTGCCTTGGAGGGCCCTCCACTTACTCTCTCACGGGGGGACCTCTTTCCGTTCTCCCGCTGGGAACCTCGTAAGCGGATCACTACTGACAGGCGAGGAGGTTTCGCCTCTTGTTTTCCCGCTTTCAGGAGAAGGACTCGTCCGGCGACCGCGAAAGAGATAGAACGTGTATCGGCGACTTCTCCGATGCTACCCCGGTCTTGGCTCTCCGGAACCTCGCGTCTGGCAAGTAAGGACCTTTCCTTACCTTGCCGGCGCGGGGGGCATTTTGGATTGGGACATAGTAGATCATTAATAGCATCCTCGATCATCCGCACCGGTGCGCACCGGGGCACTGAGGTGCGCCCCTTCATCTTCGATCAAGTGCACCGGTGCGCACCGTACGTCCTCGATCAACGAAGCGCACCCTCCCGGTGCGGCTTTTCGTTGCCCCAACGCGCACCAAGAAAATCGGCGGTGCGCCGGGGTGCAGTCCCATCAGGCATTGCGGCCAGGAGCGGGAATCGAGAAGATGGCGGGAGTAGCAGACGCGCAGACTATCGAGATGGCGATCTTGCAAAAACGAACACGCCTCGCAGCTGCACTAGATGATTTCCTCGGGTCTTCTGACGGCGAGACGACGAGCTTCTCACCATCGCCGCGATTACTGGCGATTGCTGCGGTGGCAAGGAGCGCCCGAAGAGCACGAACTTCGTGGAAAGCGGCGCGAGGCGTTTCGATGACTGCGAGGTACGGCTATTATCTGGTGTTTCGTTTTCTTGAACTAATAATGATGGCCAACATATACATGTGGAATTGTCACCCGCTTCGTGACCCCATCGACAATCACGTCCACGATGTTTATTTCTGTGGGACCGTCAAATGCGCGAGTAAAAAAATAGAAGAAATTGACAGCAGACGGGCACCGTGTGCTGACCTACGCAAAATAAACGAACAAAACGCGAAGTGACGCAAGGTGGAGCTCGCCGCGGCAGCCGCGGTGCACCGGCGCGGCGCAGTTTGTCCTCGATGTTGCACCGACATCGCGCTGCACGACCGAGGAGCGCTGTGCACTGTGTTGGTTTCAGGGCGATTCCGGTGCGAGTTGATCGAAGGTGCTATAAGAGAGTTTTAATAAACGCTCTTGAACTCTGTCCTTACTTTGGTGCGTGTGTCTTCGGCTATATTCGAGAGAGTGAGACAAGGTAGTCGATCACTGGCACCGACGGAGGTAACTTATCGAACCGACCCGCGGTGATGTGGCCCTGAACACCGTCTACATTGCCGCGGAGATGTGGGAACCGCGCTACTAGGTTTGACGTTTCCTTTAAGATCGCCGCCGCTTTTGAGATAACCCTTTGGTTACTTTGTCGATACCTCTGTTGGTAGCTAAATGCAAAATCCACACAGATTGTGTATTATGCTTTAGTATCAGTCCTTCGCAAGCAGCTGCTCATGGAAACAAGGGATGAGCAGTGTTTCTAACATAATTTTTGCGGGTTCGGTATTTTGCGACTTAGGTGAAAGCTAAATCAAGTTTTGGAATTTTCCCTACGTGGTTGGATCTCAATGTATATGTTACAATGTGTTTCTTTACTAAAATTGTTCGCGGGACCTTTTTTTTTTTTTTTGGGGGGGGGGGGGGGAATTGTAGGCGATTCGCGAAAGTTAGGTCTTCGCCAAAATTAAGCCGTTTACAATATTTAAAATACTTGATTATTCTGTATTTTGATTTTAATTTTATGACAGGGATGCATTTGACGATTTTATTTAGATATACTTTTTGAACATTTCAAATGCTTGTATTTCAAATACTGCGCAACTACAATTTTAACCACTTTCTTTTTATTGAAAACAATCCGATAAAATATTTTTTTACGACAATGAACATTGCAGAAATAATTAGAACGAGGAATGAACGATATAGGAAGAAATGTTAATTTTTTAGTTAGGTGCATTTATTTTTTAAGGATGTCACATTAACGACAGGAAGTTCGAAATTGCTTTGTTGCTTCAATTACAACTTTTAAATTAAACTCGCACTGAATAATTTGGTTTTCACAATGTTTTGTATCCGCCTACCATATGCAAAATATACTTTATATTTAAAGCTGAAATTTCCTTTTTGTGAACTTGATTCTTTGAACATATAGACTCCACCCTATGTATTAGTGATGGGCCGAACTTTGGCCGAATCAAAAATTCGGCGCCGAATTTTCGTCGAACTTTTCTAAAGATTCGGCAAAAATGCATTGTTGCCAGATCTAAAAGTTTATAATTAATTTTTATGGGCGAAAAAAGTTTGTAGGTTATTTTTAAATACGTATTGACACAGTCATTACTAAATAAGGTGACATTCTACAATATAATTGTATCGGTGTCATTACTATGGCATTGCTGGCAATTTTAAAATGACTTTATTGCAGAAGTGGTGTGACAAAGAGTTTGGGTAGTAGCAGTCGCAGTCAAGATACGCGAATTTTGGTCTTGAGGCCTCATCAGGGGGGCAAGCCCGGAAGTGTGCACTTTGTTGAAATAAAGACGGTCACACTTTCCTTCTCTGCGAGACGGCTGCTGAGCCTCCACCAGAAGATATAGCAATATTATTGTAAATATGCATGTTTTACGATTTGAGTCACTTCAGTTTTGCATGAAAGGGTGCGTCTCATAATCGCAACGTCTTGTTTTTAACTTTTAAAATGCCGGTTTCTGATGTTAGGACACACGCGGACTTTAAGGAAGATAGCAAGAGTTAGGGATGTCGGATGTGCAACGTCGAGCATGATAGTTCTGTGTTTAGTTTTATGCGGACAGATGGAAACCGCGATGTAATGTTAATTAAAAGGCAATATTATTTCTTTTTGGCACAAACGACTTGCGAGCCGAAGACAATATTGCTTTATTGGCAAGGAGTGCTTTAAAGTAATTGTCAGTCAATGTTGCAACTACCTCGTTGCATATCACTAGAAAAATCAAATGAAAATCACGTTATCCAAAATGTACTGCATCATTTGTCACTTTCGCAGTGGACTGCGTCAATTCCAAATCGATCTTCTGTTCTTGAGGCAGAAAATATTAGAGAACCACACTCACAAAGGCTGACAAACACACTTACTATGTCGCCTACTCCACACCTCACCGTAACCTCTAATAGTACTACACCGTACTATGGTAACCGCACGACCCCATGGCGTCCATTTGCAATCCATGGTCCCGTCGCGTTCTCGCGCGTGCGGAGACATTTGCCGAATCTTTGCCGAACTTTCCTCAAAAGTTCGGCATGTGCCTCGGTCCATCACTACTATATATGAACACGCTATTTCAACCCGGGCTTAAATTTAAGTCTAAGATGTAAAGCTATGGACACAAAAAGTATATGTAAAAGTATTTGAAAATATGAAATACACATTTGTATTTTGTATTTAAATACCTATTTCAGAAAATCCAATTGGAAGACAAATACATTTTTGCTAAGTATTTTGTATTTCGACATATTTTTGCGAGTATTTTGCCAATCCCTGGTGGAAACATGGAACTAAAGGAACCATAAAACGATTTTGTGTTTCAGTGGTGCACGCTTCACACGAGCGTTCTGAGAAAAACCAGTAATTACTGTATACTCGCGTCTGTGGCATTCCAGAAAATGTGAGGAGTGCGCGTACAAAATTTGATGGGCGCTCAACATACAGAAGCGCACGTGCGCCCATAGCTTTGACGGCAATGACACGCACAGTTGTCCGGGACGATATATAATATAATCTCACTAGGCCAGGAATTTCTTGCTCGCTGTGTAATTTAAAGAGTAGAAACTGACAATTCCTCATTCAGTGTCTTGCCTGCGGCAGGTCAATAATTCTAATATTAATCCTTTTTTTAACGTTTTTTCAGTGAACATGCCTAACTAAGGCAATGTTATGTTTTCCAGAAGAAATACATAAGGAGAGACGCCTCCTGTGCCGGACACCAGACAATACGAAACATCGACTTCCCGGGTGTTCTCTTGAGCCCGCGTCCCACGAGGATAAAATCCTCGTAGCACGGCGCAATCAGACGCTGTTCTTCCAACAGCGCGAAAATGAACGCTAGAGTGCAACTGGAGACACACATGTGTGGCGCACTCGTCTGTCCTCCGGACACGTTGTCCGGAAGCGCGTTGGTCTGAACCGTCTAAACCACTGATCTCTATTAAAAGGGGCTGGATGGCGCTTAGCCGCGCTCCGAGTCGGGCGCGAGTGAAGCCACCGGAAGTTAGATGCTTGTCCCGGAAGTCGAGTGTCTGCTGGGTTTTATAGTGCATTTAGTTAATATTTTGGTCCACGGTTTCTTGCATTTTTACGTTGGTTTTAATAATCCCTTTTAATAATTAATCTTGAGAATGAGGCATTTGAATTTGGGGCATGTACACTTAATCAACTAAAATCTAGAAATTTTCAGACATCAAATGGCTTCCAAGAAGAGTTCTCGGGCCTGCATGAACTGTTATTGCGCAAAAAGCAGGCTCTCTTTGTATAATAAAAGCAAATCAAGAGCCTTGGACACTCTTTGGACCACCGCTCCTAAGAATGAAAAAGCCTGTCAAGCGCTCACTTCCGGGACAAGTCGCTTACTTCCTGTGGCTTCATACCTGTTTGCTCAATGAGCCATCCAGCCCTCTAGTGGAGATCAGTGGTCTAAACCAAAACACACACACATACACAAAAAACCTGCAGATTGTTTGTTTGTTGTTGCCTTAATTGTTTTCTTTTTCTTTGTTATACCCTTCAGCACCTCAAGTCATTACAGGAAATAAATTACTTGCACTAACAAGAAAGAAAGAGTCAACAAAATGTAGCTTGAGGGTGGCATAGAAATGCTGGGCTTAAACAAATTGTGCGATGCTGTAGATTTAACATGGTCAAGTAGAAGATTAAGCCCTTTCAGTAAATGTGAAAAATAATGTAGTTAATATCATCATGCTTGCGATTCGGGTAGGCACTTCCATTGATGTGTGGTACAGGGCTGCTGAATATTTAAAGCAGTTTATTCTTCGGGAATAGTCACGAAACCTTTTTACTGCCTTCCTGCTGCGTGGGACCAAGTGGAAGCGACTCGGGAGGGATGCGGAGTCGACAGCGGGTGAACGCTTCCAGTGGGTGTTCAATATAAGCAGACGAACTTATTCAACGTACTCAACTCCCCCAAGAATACGCATTTCATACCAATTTGTTGGTTGATATTTTAGTGTCCTGGCGACATATTTGAGTGTCTCGTACTGCACCCTAAGTGCATGTCCTAATATTTTATACTTTTTTCGCAAAATACATTTCCGAGCTATAGAAGGATTATGTAGCCGTAATTATCACCCGGGGCTAGGAATTGACGCATATCTTGAGTCGCAACGAAAGCCTAAACCCCAAACAGGATTCAAGCTTATGACGGCAACGCTAAACAATATTCATCATTACCGCGGTTACACAGATTTGAGTCTTTTCGTGATGTGTTCAACGAAATGCCTTGGTGTGCGCGGGGTCTATGAGCAAGCAGCAAAATTGGAAAATAAAAGCATTTGTGTCTTTTGTTCGTCTGTTTGATCCTGCTCTGAAATTCATGCTTGTTTTCTTCAGCACTCAGGCACCTCCTTTTGTACGGAGCACTTATTTCTGTTCAACACCAATTTCGATATAAAAAAGTAACTAGCCTCATAGATAATTTATTTAACCACTAATTGGATGTGTATTCAAGTTCTCAGAGATCACGGTGTTAAAAAAAAAAAAGTCGTTCCAATCGTTTCCATATAATACTATTTCTACGTTTTGAGAAATATTAACTATATTATTATGAAAAACAAGAAACAACAATGGTCCTAAAATGGAACCCTGCAAAACACCATATGCTATTTGTTTAATATCTCATTTAACGCCGTCAAAAATGGTGAGTAGTGACCGACAGCTCAAGTAACTAGACACTAATTCGAGTGTTTTCCCTCTTATTCCGTTTGAGTTTATTAAAAAGTGTTCGGTGCTTAATGGTGTCAAAAGCTTTTTAAAGTCAATGAATATTCTGATTGTGTATTGTTTATTTTCAATATTGGTAATGATTCTATCTTTAATGTGAACAGTTGCATGTAATTACTTAAATACAGTCGCATGTAATTATTTTCAATTGAAATTGAACACGGCACCATGTTTTATATGATCATATCACGTGCTGTTTCACTATACAACCTTCTAGACCAAGATATTTTTCAGTCTTGTAATTCAGCGCTATAATTAGCAGTGGCCGTCTTACCAAGTCTTTTGGGACAGGATAAGCCAGCGGCGTTTATAGAGTCTGGCACACGAGGCGGTGGCACGCCGCGACAAACCCCGCCCTCTCGCCCCCCACCCTTTCACTGCCACAGTGCATCCCCCCCTCCCCCCTGAGTGCTTCACCAGTTCTCCGCTCGTTTTGCAAGCAAGCCCCCGTAGATATAAGCTCACATGAAACCAACCCTATTTTGACTTAGAAGGATCGTGTTACAAGTCCTTCGGAGCAGTCAAATATATTTTTACGCGCTTCTGGCTCAGATAAAGCAAACCTCTGGCAAATTTATCGTCGCGCGCGTAGGCCTATCCACAGCAAGCGTCTGCACGGACGTCCGCCTTCTGTTACTCGTTGAGGGCGAGAGGGTTCGACGGAAACGCTCGCCACTTCGCCTAATCATTCCTCATCGCATTCACGTGCTCCGCCGCTGACTCAGTCCGTAAACAGCGCTTCGTGGCGTCGTCACTGCAACTTGGGAGCGCGTTCGCGATGTCAGGCGGAACTACGTACTGCGTTTCTGGATTTGGAAAAGGCCTCGACATGAGGCCCATCAACTTCAAGGACACGGTTCAGAAGATCCGAGTGTGCAGCCTGTGCAACGTTGTTCCCAACACCGTGGTTCTGCTGCCGTGCTCGCACTCGCTCTGTGAGCTGTGCTTCGACAAGTGCCTCGAAGACGGGGAACGCTGTCTGCTCGACCAAGAACGGCTGGGACAGGAATGCGTAGAGAAGCTGACGCTTTCGGAAGAAAAACTTGCGACATGGCAGGTATGTGAACTCTTCCGAAAACAGAGAGAGGAAGCTTCTCTGCTTACGTATTAAGTTAGACACGATCGCCTACTTATCATGACCAATGACCGTACACTCATTCTAAATTTATACATGTATATATATTTTTTCTTAATTGCTAATCTGGGGTGTGCCCTTACAAGAATGTTCTGAAAATTGACCCAGAGTCCATACCAAATTGATAACGAGTAATCCCTATAAGTGCGTCAGAACATCGCCGTTTCTCCCTAGTCGGATTTCCCTACGCCACGTTGCTCCGTCGTCGCGTCTCCAGTGATTTACTCGACGGTGCGCTGTTACACGCAGACTGTTTGATCTGCAGTCCCTAACACGGGATGGACTCGTTACCGATCACACGTGTCCAGTGGCGTATTCAGGTTTTATTTTTTTTTTTTTAACGGGGGGGGGGGGGGGGGGGGGACGGGACGGGACGGGGCGGCGGCGCGGGGGGCTAGGGGGCAGGGGGGGGGGGGGGTCAAAATGCATGTGTATATCGTAGGGTCGGCTGGACTGCGAAGGGGGGGGGGGGGAGGGGGGGGGGCAGGGGGGGGGCGGGGGAGTGGGGGGAGTCAAAATGCATGTGTATATCGCAGGGTCGGCTGGACTTCGGGGGGGTGACTGAAGCGCCATAGGCTCGACCCTGGCTACGCCTCTGCACGTGTGAAGTTCGGTGAGGTCGGGTGTCGCTGACATGACATAAGAACTCAGACATTGGGAAAATTCTCGATGAGCTGAGACGCGAGATGAGCGGAGTTTAGAGCCCTAAAAGAGTGTGTCAAATGCTGTAATGACACCTGCGACAGAGTGACCGGGATTAAAAACGACATAAAGGAACTTCGGAAAAAGGTCCAGAACGTATATAAAAAAAAATAAAGAATTTACCGCTGACAATTGTAAGTTAAATGATAAAACCGAGGAACTAGAACAGTATCAGCGGTCCAACAACCTCGAGATAAAGGGCGTACCGGAGGAAGGTAACGTCTACGACGTAGTTTAAAGAATTGGGAGAATTCTGAACGAATCAACCTCAGACCCTGGAATTTATGTGTGCCATCGCGTACCCACATTAAGAACATCAGAAAAAGAAAATTATCGTCCCCTTCGTGCGACGGTCCAAACGCGATACGTTCTTGCAAAAAGGCAAAAAAAAAAAAAAAACATCTTTGACTATGGTGGGCGCCCCCGCCCCATATTTGTGAATGAGCCTTTAGCCGGTGCAAATAAAAAGCTACTGGGACCTGCGATCGCCCAAAAGAAAGTCGATGGGTGGAAATTTGTGTGGTCATCTGGGGGAAAAGTCTTTGCGCGAAAGGACGAACATGCAAACGCTATCGGAATTGCTAGCCTGTGTGGTGTGGAAAAAATTGTTAAATAAACTATAAGTATAAGCTAGTGCCTTGGTGTGTACACGACACTACGTCAATGGAAACTGTCGAATGTGATTGTTATTATGACTACAGTGCGTTAAATAAAAAAAGTACGAAGAAGGTAAACGCCATATTTCAGCAATACATTTAAACGTAAGAAGCATTAAGAATAAAGTTAACCTCGAAGTATTTTTTGCATTCGTTAATTGCACACTTTAATATTATAGCACTAATGGAAACCTGGCTGACAAAAGAGGATACGCCGCCCATCATTCAGGGTTAATTATAAGTTCGAAATCAGGAGCAGAGATAAGAAAAGGGGCGGCGGTATCGCGATTGGTATCAAAGATAAACTACAGCAAGAGGTTGTAGATGACCTATCTAAAGTGGACGCAAACATTGAAAGCTTGTGTGTTAGGATATTAAAGGGGCACTGACACCCCAAAGGTCGTATTTATTTTTATTGTCTAAAACGATGCAAGTTGCAGTCATAGACACGCAAAAAAAACCGCATCGCGAAAAAAAATTTTCCCGCGCGCGCGCGCGCCTTTTTATTTTTGGCGTTTGATTTTCCCGCCTCTCGCCTCCTCGCTTCTTTTGATCGGTGACGTCAAAAATCAGGAAATTTAGAAGCTTTGTAGGCGACATCTCTATAACATTTAATTACGGCAATCGTAAAACATGTTTTTTAACGCAATTGCGAACGCACTACGGCCCTTCTTTTTGAAATACCAAAAATCGGGAGTTCGTTGTGGTGCCGTCTCCTGGATTTGTATCCTCCGACGGAAAACAGGCGACACCGCTCAAAACCGGTCCGCCGTAACGCCGCTGCTCACTCCTTTCCTCCTCGCTTTGGGTCGCCATGGCAACAGCAGGGTGTGGTGAAAAAAAGTCGACTCTCAGGTCTCCGCGATTTTTGACGTCAAGGCACCGGCGCCGATCGCGCGGGAACTTCGAATTCGGCATTTGGAAATTGTTTTTTTACTTCACAAATAGTGAACTCCCAAATTTCAAATTTTGAGGGTAATGTCCCGGCATCGTTTTCAATCGTTTCGGATAATAAAAAAAAATATGATTTTGATGTGTCAGTGCCCCTTTAAGTCTGTTGTTCTTCCTTTATAAGGCCACTTTAGGGGATATATATGAATTCATGACCTTTCTTGAGAATGCACTGTCTTTCGTTGGAACGCTATCTGTGCTATTCTTTATTCTCGGCGACGTAAATATCACAATTTCCGATGACCCTCACGCTCAAAATTTTCGCGATATTGTCAACCAGTATGCCTTCAGCAAAGTGATAGCATTGCCCACTAGAATAACTGCAGACACACGCATAACGAATACCGACACTCGTCATATTACAGCAGGTGCCAACACCTGTGATATTACTAACCGTCTTCCAATCTTCTGCCTTGAGTCCTCTTCTGCTAGAGAAAATACCAAAGATATAGGGACATTTTGGGCAGCATTTCCTCCACAAGAACGGAGAGGGAAATGTAAAAAAAAATGAGAAAGCCTTGGATGACAAGAGACCTGTATGGAAGAATGAGGCGCAAAAATGAAAAGTATCATGTTTTTATTTGGCATCGTGATCCGCGGTTGCTTATCGAGTTTAAGAAATGTAGAAACAAATTGAGTGCCGACCTAATAAAAAGCGAAAGGGGAATACTATCAAAAAGAACTTCTACGTATACACATAACCATAGAAAAGTGTGGGACACAGTAAACAAACTCACGAACAGAGATCAGGCACGATGTAATCTGAAAGAAATACTAATAGATAATAAACGTGTCACTGGGAAAGAACTTGGCGATGAAATGAATAGATATTTTATCAGCATTGGGGGGGGGGGGGGGGGGGGGGGTGCGTACACTGAGAGGAAACCAAATTGGGTCGATTATGCTTACTCTAGGGACACCATTTGAAATTAATAAAATAATCAGAAACCTAAAAAATGACGTCGCCGCTAGAAAAGATGTAATAATAACCCTACCTATTAAGTATACTTTGACCATAGTCCAGTTCTATCGAATATAGTAAATAAGATGTTTCAGTCCGGTGATTTCCCTGGCGAGCTAAATCTAGCCGAGGTTACTCCAGTGTATAAAGGAGGTGGTGAGACAAACATTAATAACTACAGACCCGTTTCAGGTGTTCCAGTTTTTTTCTAAAATATTTAAGCGTGTGACTTCTAATAAATTAACACTTGTTTTTTTTTTTTTTTCTTGTTTTTTTTTGGGGGGAGAGAGAGAGAGAGAGAGAGAGAGAGAGAGAGATAGATAGAGGGAAAGTTGGAAAGTTGTTTTCCCCGACCTCGATGGACCACCTTCAAGTTGCCGTCGAGCACCGGGGGATCGTGGATGAAGCTAGTTGCTAAAGGGCTGGATGCGTCGGTGGTGATGCCGAGGCGACGGACAACTCGGAGGGCTTAACGAGATCAATAAAACTTTACTTCTATAAAAAAAAAAAAATATCAAACAGTTACATAAAAGACAAGTGCGAACAGCTTCCGCGCTGTAATAAACTGCCGCGCACGGCTTACAGACTGAGACGCCTCGGCGTCAGATGGTCCTACCGCGCACGGTAAGGACGGCGACTACCTTGTAGCCGCGAAGACGAAGACGCTGTCGCGCACGACTGGTAACGCGGCGCACCGCGGGAGCTGAACGTCAGTGGGGTCGCTCACGAGCCCGTTCCAAAACTCAAAGATTTCCCTGTCCGGCCAGGGTCTAAAACAGCGTGCTCGAACCTGTCCGGGCCTATCACGGTTCGACCCTGGTCCGATTGGCTAGAGGAACCAACGTACTTTCGACCAATCGGGCGAGAGGTCATTGCTCCGGGAGTGAACCATAAGCCAAGCCTTGATTCTCAGAACCCGAGGATAAAATACGAGTTATGGCTTTCTTATCTGCCACAGAAGATACACATTCGCGAACGGCGAGAACCACCGAGTCATGTCGGCAGGGTCACGTGACTCACGTCTATGCCACCACGAAATGCCGTTGAAACAAAGTAAAAAGAAAGGCACGCCAGGCATATGCAGAATATATGGGGAGCGCCTGGTTTACGGGCGTCATGGAAGAGTTCCGAGACACGACTCCGAGAGCTCTGAAGCACTTTGTCTCCCAGCAAACGACCTGGCTACCGGTGACGTGTTAAAGTCTCGGCCGTGGGTTCCCCATTAACCTTTACGTCTGGCCCCGCGTCTCAGGGTCGAGGGGTAGACGCACGCGGCGCTGAGACAGCAGCCTCTCGTCGGCAAGTTAAGTGTTTTCACGTGGGTTCGAAAACCGGAGTTCTGCATGAAATGCAACGAAGAGGGCGACATGCCCGCGGCCATTTTCCCGATACCGGGAAAAGCTCATAAACAAGCAGAATTCCAACTTGTAACGGCACGGGAACCCTTGAAACGCGACACTCGACTCCCAAAGCGCCTCCCCATTCCCGACCGAAGCGCCGCCAGGCGGCTAAAAAAAAAAAAAAAAAAACACACAACAACAGCGGGGTATGCCGTCCTGTCGGTCGAAAAAAAGTGATAAATAAAAGCGAACACCTCTACAGAGAGCATAATATAATAGCGCAGTCCCAATACGACTTTCAAAAGCCAAAAT